ATATGCATAACATGTTCAAATTTATTAAAAACATAATAACTTCGAGGACCATTCCAATATTGATATATATCACCATATGTTTTATGTAGTTGTTTGAAAATATCAGTTAATGATCGATGTGAAAAAAGAACATTTAATTGTAATAAATTACCAAATAGAAATTGTGGTTCTAAACCGGGTACATCTTTTTGACGTTTAAAATAACGTTGTTTCATTACATAAACCATAATTGCAACTAATAAAGATGTTATCAATAGAAGTATATTGAGCATTTTTTATTAATATTAAATAGATCAATTAATTATTTAGTTTTTATACATTTATCTAAAAAAATTAAAATATTCCTTATATACATATATATTTTGTTGTCGTTCTTTTTTTGATTAATACAAAATAATCAACTGAAAAGAATTTGATGAGTTAAAATATTTATCCTTATCTGAAAACAACTATATGCCTTACCTATTTGCAATAATTATGTTTAGTCTATTGGTTGAATATTTTTATAGTATCTATAATTTCTATATATAATACATAGGGTATTTTATGTGCGGATAAAAAGAGAAAAGGCGGATGTGGGTTGTATTGTTTTTCTTCTTCCCACACGAAATATAGAATATGTATGATACATTGAGGCAAGCCACACGCGATAATGATCACAGTGATTATGCTCATCCAGTCGTATAAATACTATTATCTTACCTTTATATCAGAGATGAGCACAGGACAACTTTTTATGTCCTGTCCTGAGAATGTGTGTCCTGGTGCGCGGCAGGGCAGGGCAAAAATCTAATGTTTGTCCTGTCCTGCGTACAGTACGAACAGGACAGTACGGGATAATAAAACTTGTCATTTTTCGTTATAAAAGTTCGCCAACCACTGAAAATCTTTTGGTCTATTAATTGTCTGTTATATGCATTTATAACAACTTAATATTCTTCAAATTTATTAAAATAAATAGAAAGAAAAAGATTGTTGAGTTAGTATATTAATGATTAGTTGTTTGCGATTGAGGAAGGTCGTGGATATTTTTAGTTAAGTAATTCTCTTCCTAATTAATATATTTATTATATACAATTTGAAACCTGATGTTTCGAACGACAATGTCGTTTTTCGTCAGAAGTGATGATACATTTTAATATAGATATCTTATTTATGTATGTTTCTTTTCTTTTTTTTATTTAATAGTAGTGCGGACGATATATATTTCACCTTATCGTACCAGACTATTACCGTCTTGTCCGTACCACTATTAAATGAAAAGAAAAGAAACATACATAAATAAGATATCTATATCAAAATGTACCATCACTTCTGACAAAGAACGACATTGTCGTTCGAAACGTCAGGTTTCAAATTATATATACTAAAAGTGTTAATTAGGAGGAAAATTACTTAGCGAAAAATTAATGATTAATCTAGCAGAGAAGATAAACACACTGTATTAATACAATGTTAATGCCTATTACAATTAATTCATATCACAATAATCGTGTGTTCTTCCTTAATCGATTGAAGTAAGAATGTAACTGTTTCTGAAGTTAAAGGAGCTTCAGGTGAAAATAAAACGTTATTACTATCCATCTCCAAAGAAAATAATTATACAGACGTTAAAAGAAACAGTTCAAAGTAAAATAAAAAGTTATACAAACAAAGAACGATCGTAATGTTCGTTTGTTCAATAGTATACTTCTTATTTGACTCTTTTCTTGACCAACATAACAATGAACTCTATTCTTTATGACTAAGTGCACCATTTGCCGTCCATTACGTGTATGAAGCATATGTAATTCAATTACATATTTGTTTAAAACGATAATTGAATTACATATTCATTTAAACGATAAAAAAAATAGAATTTTACACAAAATAACATGCTAGTCCTGTTATGTCCTGTCGTCCTGTGACCCTCTGTCCTGGTGTACGGCAGGACAGGCGAAAAATCTAAAATTGGTCCTGTCCTACCGGACAGGACAGGACCGGACCCCAGGACGACAGGACTGACCTGACCTGTGCTCATCTCTGCTTTATATACAGAAAAAACGTTGCTTGCTGAATTGATTTTTGTGCAGTTATGATAAATACCAAAAATGTGGATCGTTTCATTTTTTTTCTGTATCGTAAATGATTAACTACGATCGTTTGCGACAATCTGCAAGCTAATTATGCTCTATATATCAATGTTGTTTCTTATAATACTCCATTCATTATAAAGGTCGTAAATGAACCGAATCGGATATATACTAAGTTTTGAAATTTATTATCAATGACAGCCAAAAATTATATCAAAAATGATTGATTTTAATCTTTGTTTTATATTTGAGAAAAGTAAAAATGTTGTTAATAAAGTCTAGTCGAAGTTTTACTGTTCGTCCTATTTACAAAATTTAATTTTCATATTATACAATCCATTTTTTGTCTCGATAACTATCACCTATAATCGATATAGTTCAATGGTTTTGTTTTTATCAAATTCTGTTTTTTTGTGAATCAACATTACTATATAATTGCCTCCTTTTTTATTCTTAACTAAAATATAGTTTCAATGAGCATGTTATTCATCAATTAAGAACGATACAATTTTTTCGAAAATGAGTCTGACTGAATCAAACTACAGTAATTGTATAAACTAAGGTTAAATCAAACTTGAATATTTTATTGACGTTTCAAATCGAACTATGAGTACTCACTATAATTCAGCCTCTAATCGTATAATCTAATTCATTGGTTTTGTATTCACATACCGAGATAATTTGTGATACAAAACAAAGTATTTACAATGAAGTAAAGCGTATTTTTTTCGTTTATACCCACGCACGATAATGTTTTGTTCAGTACAATAAATACAATTGGTTTAACTTTGCTCCTTTTCTCTATCTCTTATTATATTTATACCTTGAGATACAATGAGAAGAAAAATACGGAATGCATACCCATCAATAGCTTCTAATAATATATAGAGCATACAATAAAATAAATTAAAACAAAAATACTCATTACTCATGAACATTTTCTGCTTAAACCATCTTTTTGTATGACCGTATCAATTTTACTTATCAAATTTTCTCGAAGATATCCATATCTAATCATAATTGTATGTTCATCACAGGTAATATCAGTATAAGACAGAAATTTGCATGAAAAACGTTTTCGAAGAAATAAATTGTTATAGTGGGAAACGGTATTCTTCAACATTTACTAATACGATTCAAAAAAATATATTTGGAGTTGTATATATCATAGGTACATGTTATTGTGCATGACTGGTTACGATTGCCAAGGTTATATGTAGGATGAAACAAGTGAATCCTGTCTCACGATAAGTAATATTTTATATCATTATTTTGTATAAGAAAATATAAAAATATTTTTTTTGTTTGGATAACATTCTATATTATTTTCATAGAATTAATTAAAATAAATTATCATATATATTCAAGCATAGTAAACGAATAATAACAAATCAAGTACTTATATATAGAGTATTGAGAATAACCACTTACTGTATTGTGATAAAATCTGTTGCTGTCTCATTTTCTCGCTCACCATATTAACCCTTCGACGGTGTCCTGGGGTCCAGGTGGACCCATATGATGGTTTTTCCTTTAGTACAACTTTACGATTTGGTGTATCAGATCAATTCTCTTCTCTAATCTTTCGTTTT